CACATGCCGGAGCTTGTGTACCACCCACTCTCCGCAGGTGCAGAAGAGGGTGTGGTTCTCAACCGCCTTGACGGTTGTCTAGCGCCGAGAGATTAACCCCTCAAGGCGCGTGTCAGCCGCCATGTGAGTGTCGAACGCAACCCTCGAGACCATCGAGGATCGCGCGATTATGGGTACTACATAGTATGCCATCATTGCGACTGCTAGCGAATGCTTGCATGGCTTAGTCGATATGAGAAAGTCTTGCATCCGCGCGGTTTTATATTAAGACCCACGCGCGATACCTAACCGATTTCCGTATCAGAAGGTTATGGGTTGGATACTAAAGGGACTAGGAGTGTTTTCGTTTTGTGTGATTGACCTGAGTTTTGTTTTGGCGTGGTGTAACGCGTGGTAAGAAGGATGCGTCCGAGTCGACCGGACGACGAGCCGCGCTTGGGACTTCAGCCCCCCAGTGCGTCGGCTTTCGTACGGGCCCGATAAAGGCGTGGAACCGCGCGTACCCCCTATGCTACAGCGTACGAGAAAACGCCCTCAGCTGGTCCACCTCTGCGATTGCATGTAAAAACTTTCGTACTGTGGACTGGTAGCTCGGCGGGGATACGCCCACCTAAGGGATGGTGACAGCTCCCGCAGGTGGAGGTAAGTTGTACCTCGCGTGGCCCTATCCTGTCTTAGGGGTTCGCAAGAGGTATGGCTGGCGCACTCGGCTGGAGCAGCGACGCTCCACGACTAAAGTCTTGCCGAATCCTGCGTGACGCGGCCGAGAAGGTCCCCTCTCACTGCGGGGACCGTGCGCTCGACAGCGTGCATGTGGACGGATTCCCAGCTCCGACCCTTTCGCAAGTGTGAGGCAGCATCAAAAGACACACACACACACACACACACACACACACACACACACACACACACACACACACACACACAAAGCACTCACTCACACACAAACACACACACAACCTTTTATGCGTTCTGAGCTCGCCTTTCTGAGCTTTGTCTTCGTACAAGCCGAAGCTGTGGGAGGGGGGACTTTACGAACACTAACTTCCTTTGTCTTTGTTCTTCTGCACTGGGGACTAGGGCTGTACTGTGGGGCCCCCGTTCGATGTCCCTGTCTCATCGCACCTCCCTCCCTATCCTCTCCGTCCTCTCTCTGGCATGGTAGTCTCTTCAGTGGAGGGTGAAGAAGTCCTTCTCAGAAACAGGCACACGGAAAAGGGACTTTCCTCACCCTCGTTTTTGTTGTTGTTGTGTGTTTTTGTCGATGAATCTAGATGCCTTTGAATGGTACAGTGCACAAAACTGTACATGCATATCCGCAGAAGGCGGACCGCTTATATAGGGACAACTTCCATCAATGGTAAGGACGTAACAGGCCACGATTGCGTGCCATATCAGGCGGGTGCCGACGTTGGGTGCGAACAAGTGCGCACTGTCATGTCGTTTAGGAAAGGGAGGGAATTGTGAGCCGCGACCTCTGACCCCTGAATCCATCCCCGCAGATTCGGGAGGATAAAATGATGACGAGGAGCCAGAGTTTATTTTTTATTCATTTCAAAAATTGATTCCACAAACGAAAATATCAGCTCCAAAACCTACGAAATTCGTAAAAAAAGAGCGCAAACCAGGGTAGTTTTGGAGCCTAACAGTCCGACCGACCCGTAGGCGGGCCTGTTGGGGGTCGGCAGACTGCCTTGCAATTTTTATTTTTTTTCGTGATTACATGGTCGTGCGCGGCTTGAGGAGAGCAGCCCAAATCAGCAATAAACTTTTTTGGGGGTGGTGGGGGTTATTGCAATGAACCTAGCAATTCCAAACCAACTCGAACGTGCGAGGTGAGAGCACCCACAGGAAGTTCACACCGCACCAGAGAGATGACCCACGGACCAGCACCAGATATGTTCCCACTCAAAATATGAGAAGTTTACAACTGGAGAGTTCTAGTAACCAGCGGCAGTTGCCGCAACTCGACAATGCAATCCTGACTCAAGTGTGTACTCAACTCCTCCTCCCTTGATGTCTGGTCTCTCTCTCTCTCTCTCTCTCTCTCTCTCTCTCTCTCTCTCTCTCTCTCTCTCTCTCTCTCTCTTTGTGCCCGTTCTCTCTTCTCTCGCTCAAGTCTTCGTCCTCTCGACCTCACTACGCTTCTGCTCTCCCTCTCTCTCTCTCCCTCTAGGATCTGCCCTGAATACAACTGCGGTGTATTCCCCGAACCTCCGTGGCTATGACCGTCTCCTTGCTTCTCCCTAGCTGTGGTAACCAGATGTCTCCTTCCTCACTGGGCACTTGCTCCTCTCCTGGTGGCCCCTCCCATCCACGTCGCACTGTCGCACAAGTAACCCGCAGTACTTCCGCAATTCGCACATGAATAGTTGATCCTTCCTGCTGATGCTGCTGGGTTCTTGTACTTGCTGATCCGCCTTCCAGACATCTTCTGTTGGTTATGGGTGGGCCCTCTTGCCTTTGTTCCCTGCTTCTGGAAACTCATGGATTCTTCTTGGGTTTGGCTGCTTGTGTGGACCAACTGACACCTAGCCTAATGGCCCTGGTAATCCTGGTTGAAGTTGTGGTGCCTCCTAAAGACAGACTTTTCAACCCAACTGTTATCCCCGAAGGACTTCCTACCACGATCTACTTAACTAGCTCACCTTGGCCTCTGCAATCATGGTACAAATGAAAGCTGCTCTTCTAGAGTATGGCTGGAACCACTAATGCAACACGGAATGGGACTCGGGATTAGAACCTGGACCTTGGGACTGAACCTGGGACTCGGGACTCAGGATTAGAACCTGGGACTTGGGAATGGGACCTGGGGCTCAGGACTCGGGACTTGGGACTTGGGACTCGGGACTTGGGACTGTGGCACAACGTGAAATCCTTTCATAATAGGGGGAGGTATAGGGGGGTTATATAGCGGGTTGTAAGGGGTTGTAGGGGGTTAAGGCAGGGATATGAGGGTGTTAGGGGGCGGTATGGAGGTGTTGGGGGGGTGTTGGGGGGGCTATGTGGATGAGGTTATTTGGGGTTCTGGTCCCTTTTTTTTTTTTTTTTTTTTGGCGGGGTGCCTACCGTCTGCTGGTCGGCAGTCGACGGGTCCGGGGCCGCCGACCATCGGCTTTATTTTTTCAAGTCCATGGTGTTGTAGAGGCCAGTCACTGTGTACACACCTGTCTCTTATACACATCTAGATGTGTATAAGAGACAGGTTGCAGACCGGTCCCTGACCTGAACTTATGAACCCAAAAAAAAAAAAAATTCTTTTTTTGGCGGGGTGCCTACCGTCTGCTGGTCGGCAGTCGACGGGTCCGGGGCCGCCGACCATCGGCTTTATTTTTTCAAGTCCATGGTGTTGTAGAGGCCAGTCACTGTGTACACAGTGATCACCTGGAGCAGTAGGCCGTGGGTGCCCTGGAATATGAGACCACCTCCCATCCCATCCTCACGTCAATACTCCTAGCACACCCCCTATCCCACTATCCTACCTCAGTGTGACCAGCACTCAGGACCATTACCCTACCAATGGGCAGGTAACTTGGACCAAACAGCAGTGATAGGCACCAGGGCTGATAGGTTGCCCAGCCCTGGTGGAAGTGGAATCGGACGAGCCTTGTCGAACGGGAACTTCGGACGCCAGGCCCAGTCTACTAAAGGCCCCAAGAGACTCTGGGCCCTAGGTTTCAGACAGGGTAGCACCCATTGACGCAGTCTTACCGTCCTTCCCCTAGCTTACCCAAGGCCAGGCGGAACTCGGACTGGCCTGAGCGACTTATACCCCTACCCTTACCCCAGGGTCTAAGCCTTATATATAGCCAGTAGACAGTTCTACCCGAATATCAGTAGGAACTCCGGTGGCCCATACCTGTCCCTACCGCAGATACTAGACCCCACCCAGTGACTAGACCCCCCCAGTCTGATAGTTGTGTAGTTTGAAATGTATGTGTATACCCGATGGCTGTGTATGCTTCGTGTATCTATGTTTGAAGATGTACAGACAGCACTATGTGTGGAAACTTGTGTCTGTAGCCCGTAGGCCATGTATAATTCGCAAGCTATGTATGTGCCTGAAGGCTGTGTGTGCTCTGTGAATAAACGTATCGAGATGCGTAGGCAGCATCATGAGTGTATATCGAAGAGAGAACGGGGTAAGCTGGACAAGGACCCCCCCAAGATCCGAGCCAAGCTCGAACCCGTGACCTTGAAACATGTAATCGTATGACTCTACCATGTGAACGGCTAGTGGATATGGCACGAACGTGTGATATGCCAGACTGGGGAGATCAACAGAACACCCAAGACCAACACCCCCAAGCAACCCATGTGAAACCCAGAACCAACATACAATGCCATGAACAACCCTTGGGTGGTGCGCAGGCAGTGTCTGTAAGAGAACCATGTGTCAGCCCAAGGGAGTGTGTCCAGTCGTGCGTCAATCTAACGCCCTGCCGGTGTCCATGCGCAAGGTTGCAATTGAGTTTTGAACCCGCAACCTCATACCACAATGCGCATTTCCAACCGGTGCTCTAACCACTGAGCCACATCAACTGGACAGATTTACTTAATTTTTTAAGAAGAGACAAAATAGTAAAATACTAGATTTTAGTCTTATGGATTCTTTACTTTCCCCCCCCCCAAAAAAAAACAGTCAAAAAGTTACAAAAACTAGATTTTCTGATTTTGTGTTCTACGAACTTTTATGAGACTCGCGAGTTTCTGTTTTTCATCATCATACATTGGAAGGTAAGGTATTACTTGGTACTGATCTATATATGCATACATGGGATGTTTGAGCATATGTAGTACAGTATTAAAATATTTTGTCAATGTTGATTCTTCATATTGGGAGAGTAGATATGCCTTCATGTTGGGACAGACACATATATTGGTATTATATCCATATCAACTTCCCAACATATTCATACAACATACCCATATATGTATATCCACATATGTGTGGATATGTTCGGATACGGTGTTTTACGAGATTGAATTCAAGAGTGTACCTCGTAGCACAAACCGTGGAATGACAATGTGACAGGTTCGAATTTCAATCCAGAGCTGGATATCATAAGAGTCCTTCCCTGTTCAACATCTGTGCCCGCTTGTCCGTGGCCTTGGTCGGTAGTCCGATTTCTTCCATTCCCACCATTGGCATCCTTTTCCTTGATCGACCTGTTCGTTAAACCTCGATTTTGATCCTTGTCCTTCAGCTGGATCTGGCTTCCGATCCTTTTCGCCATGAGTTTCCAGCGAGACATTAACTGCTGCTTGTCCAGAGGTTTCAGTCTGGCCTCTGGAGGATTGGGGACCTGCAAATGTTTCACAAAAAACAGGCAATGGCAAATGGAGCATTAGGGACCTGCAAATGCTTTTCGCAAAAAAATGGCAACGGCAAATGGACAATTGGACCCACGAAAGCACCCATCTGTCCTCTGCTGTAGAAAAGAGTCCAATCATCCTCCTATGTAGAAAAAAACAACAATAGGACACGAAACTGCAACGCCAAGGAGTCTAACTTTCTGCAGCAAATAGTGTTATGTCAGTCACGAGGCTTGTTATGTCAGTTATGACGCTCGCTTATCCGTGGAGTGGAGTTCTTACATGGCTGCGTATAATCATGGTTCTCAAGATGAGAGTTCAATGATGGGGTACTTGCTGAAGCAAGTACGTGCACAAAGGTCAGGTGCACAGTCCATAACATTTTTTCCTTATAAAGCCGTTTTTTTTTCCGTTCTCTTTGTCTTTCGCTGGCTCTAGAAACTGAGGCATTGTTTTAACTTGGTCTGATGTTCTGTTGGACCTAGAAGAGGGAAGAAGGTTGTTTTTTCAGAGAGCAAGCTAGGCAAAGACAAGGAAAGCAGGGGCAGAGCAGTAGTACATCCTTCCCAATACAGGAAGGAATCAAGGCTGCCGTCTCAGGGTCCCTTGGTCATAACGAAGTGAATCATTGTGTGCATACTTCATGTAAGCGACACTCCGCTCGTTTTGCATTCTTATAGAAAAGGCACTTATGCAAAATCCAATAAAAAGTCATTGTCTTAATTCAACGTCAATCGTTTAGGGGAAAAAGTGGTAAATCTGGAAGGCATTTCGGATACTGGCATAACACTTTTGTTGCCATGTATATGGCAGCAACCCGGACCGAGTTTGTATATCAGGCTCCTATTGAAAGGATTTCCCATCTCAGAAAGTTCCCGTGTCCCAGTCCCAGTATCCCAATGGTCCCAGTTCCCCTGTACTATACCCAAACTGGCATGCCCAGTCGCTGAAACGACGATTCAGGCCCGTAGGTTGTGAGAAGTCCGAAGTAGTTAGGAGTCCGGCAGGTCAGTAACCGACAGGAAAAGTCCAAGTCCCAGTCCAAATTTAGCAGCAGCATCCAAGGAAGGTCCGGTAACTTCCGGAACCAGCACATTTGCGGGTGACAGGCCCTGGGCAACCGTTACCGGTCCAGAGTTGACAAAGATTGTCAACTGCAGTGCTAAATAAGCAGCTACAGTTGTGTGACTCAACTGCTCATCGGCATGTCGCTGAAGCGCTGCTAAACGTTTGTGCAACGGTTTGAAGTGACTGGTCAGGCGAACTGGCGGCATAACGTGACACGTAGCACCATAGGTAAAACTAGCAAGGGAGGAGAGAGACACTATTGCTGATAGGGTGTGACTTCCGAGTGCACTCAGAGAGTGCATTCACACACACACACGCACA